ATCATCTGTTTCACTTATTTTCATATTTGAAGGTTCACGGTTAAGCGCATGCTTTTTTCCTTTTTTTTTCTTTTTTTCCATTTGTGTATTAATTCTATCGTTTAGTAATTCCACTCACATGTATCTCAGCGATCTCTGAGTGTATTTCAATTTAGAAGTGTATTTCAGAGTAACCTTAAGTAGGATGGAGGAGCACTAAAATCGCAGAAAAAATCAGTGGATAATGCCAACACTACCAACCTTGAATTTATTGTTGACCCGAAGGTTTTATTCCACGGTTGATTAATTTACAGTTATTTGCACATAAGTTGATCAAGTGACTGCCAGGAGAGTGTGCAAATTGGTTCTTTGACATCATTATCACACGATCATATTGCTTGCATAGACGATCGGCAGAAAAACAATTTTGATAAATGTGCATGCTCTGAACCTGTAATTCCATTGCTTCAACGGATTCTCTTTCTAAATCTTTTTTACACAAAGAACTAATAAGTGAATCGATTTCTTCTAGTTTCAGATAATCCTCTTTTGACGGAAAAATATGACTGTCTATTTCATATTGCGATTGCATTGCAGATTTAGATCCCATCTTTTATTTTAAAAGAATTATTTCTTTAAATTTCCCTTTTTTTTCTTCCGCAACTTGAATTACAATAATCATGGATAATAGAAAGTCTTTCTATTATCCATGCAATAATTTATCTTTCTCGAGAATCATGAATTTTTATGAAAGAAAACAATAGGTTTTCACGAGTAAAACGAAAGATTGCATTCCGGATTACTCTAGCAACGCCAGGCAGCCCAAGCTCACGTCACGTGAAAGGATTAGATTAATTATTAGCGGTGTGCGATCCGGGACGTGACTGTTCAACGAAAGCGGTATTGGGTTACATGGCGGCCGTGAATTTATAAAGGATTTGTATGGGAATCCACGTTATAGATTTAGGAAGATAAATACTCGTAGAAATTCTCAATAAAAAACGTCTTACCTTATTTACATGGTGTGTTCTTGCTTGCTGTGTGGTTATTTTCCCGATCCGGTGCGATTTTAGCGATTTTTTTCATTTCTGAGTTTCCACTACTAAAGAGAGAGCAAGGCCGAACACTTCCAATCTGGACAGCCCGCCGAACGAAGCCAAAAATTCCAGGTTAAAATATCCCCACGGCCAAAATTCCACCGCAGAATCCAACTACAAAGGTTAAACTTTCATTTCAACTTTCTAGCCACGCAATCGCATCCCTGCGAGCGACGCCAGGCGGCAGTTTGTTTCCCCGATGAAACAGTAAAACGTTGGGCCAGAACCGCGTACAAATCCACCACGACACAACGACCGTTGAAATCGGCTTGGTAACCTCGTCACGTTGACAAACAAAGACTCACGGGGTACACTAACGCAAATTCAGAACAGAAATTGATGTTGACAATTTGCGTTAGTTAGTTAGAACAATAATGAGTTTTCCAATAAGAATGAAAACTCGGAGAAAGCGACATGTTCTTAATTAAGGAGAATGTAAAAAGAAATGCTTCTTAATAAAGTTTAAATTGTTTACCCTTGATGGCATGGAGGCGTTTCATGAAGTTCAAACTAATGACACCCGGCCTCTTGGCTCCTCTTCAATAACAGCTTTGCAAGTCCCTGATTAAACTATAGTATTTTAAATAATGCAATTCAGTGGAAGCATAAGGCTTAGCTTTCAGAGTTACACCGTAAGTAATCAGATAGGGGTCAGTGGATGGCTATAATGATGATTTCTTTGTCTCCTTAGATAAATCATGATAATTTCAAACATCTTTGTACTGTGAAGGCTGACGGTTTTCTTGAGCTTATTGTCAATCAGACAAGATAGACGCTAGGTAGCTGCAGTGATGAGTAAAGCGTACTAACCAGTTGGTTCAGTGGGATTGTTCCACTGGAATGTTTTCCACGACCGTCCGTGGAAATTGATTTGATATAATCGTTATCCCAACTTAAACTTGTAAAATTTAGGTCTATACAAACTTACTCGCTTAAGGTTTCGTAAATTATGTTGTTTCGATCACGTGATTAGTCACGTGACAGACATTACACGTACAGAAAAAAATGACCCTGAGATTTTACATATTCACAGAAAATTTCTTCTTTCGAGGCACTTTTATTCTCTTAAACAATCAGCAAAAGATATTGCAGACAATCTCATTTCTTTCTGGATACATTTTTCAGCTAGCCGTCATTTTTTGCAGATTGTTCCTCCCAAAAAATGCCACGACTGCCACGAAGAGATTACCGATAATGATCGCAATATAATATCATATAGCCGAGAAGGTAGTCGCTTATAAGATATGGTGATTAGCAGATAGATAGGAAGGGTTCAAAGCAAATTAAACACAAGGTGGAAAAGACTGATGCAAAATAAAATACAAATCTTTTTCCTACTCTTTCGTTCTCACATCAGCGTATTTTTAGCTTTTCGCTGGTTTCTTTTGCGCTGTGTAGTGCTTAGTGAGATTGTTACGAGTACTCGTACCACAAACATTCGCGTTATACGCCCAAGGCGTGTACAACTTCGTGAGGTTTTTCGGAGGGCTTATAAATGGGGGAACTTATATTCGGAAGAGCTTATAGACAGAATGAAAAAAGCATTTCAAAACAAACTACATAGCAGTGCTGATGAAAATCACTCCAGACTATCTGAATTTGCTCGCTTTTGTAAGCTTCAAAACGTCGTAAAAAAAATTTCATTTCAACACAAGCAAGAAAAGGGCTTATATCCTGGGGGCTTGTAACCGGATGTATTTTTTTGTCTACAGGTAGATGGGCCTATAACCAAGGGCAGGGGGGGAGGTGGGGCGGGGTGGGGGCTTCTAAGCATATTCTTACGGTATTTCCAACTACTCTCCTTTTGATGCTGATCAAGGAAAGCTCAGTGTTCTTCTTTAACTGCGCCTTATAAAAGTCTCCATAAAAATTGAATTGTGTATAACAGTAGTTGAAGGGTTAAGGGTTTGCTACACTTTTTATTCCTCATTTTATATTGCTGATTTGTATTCCCGTATGATCAAAGGTTTTCGGTCGGCAGGGGCAGTCAAGTATGACAGTGAATTAAATCTGCATTGAAAATAGCATACGTAATGTGAAAATTAAAATTTCGATGGTCTCGCCGCTTTTTCTTGTTTAGAAAAAAAAACATCTTCCCATCCATTTTAAACTCGCCATTTTCTACTGAAAACCAAAGGACTAAAAATGCTTCGCTTGGTTATTCCGTTGTTTCTTGTTCTCATCTTGCGTTCCTTCGCAAGCCAGAAAAAGACTTCAAGCAATGCAAGTTTGGCTTTTTTATTTCTATTTCTTTATGCATGAATTAATCTGGTCTAATTTAAAAAGGAAGAAAGAAGATACACTATGACTATGCCACTTAAATCACTAAAATTCACTGACTAATACCTCGCGGTTTTCTTCTTCAGGGAACAGAGGACAACCACTGTTGTAACTCGTGTCGCCACGGTAAGCTGAAGACATTAAGTGAATCCCCTATTTTTTTTTTCTGGACATGTTATTCTGATATTTTTCATTTTTTGTTAGGAAGGGAGGGAAGAGATGGTCAGAACGGTAAGATTACACATCGCACATTTCAATATAACCATGTTTTCATTAACTGACACAATGTTGACGATTCAACACCTAGACTCACACCTTCTGCCCATGGAATAGGTGATTGCTGGCAGGAAATACTGCTATAGGAACTTAAATTAGCCACATAGTTATGTTCCATATTACAACTGGGCGAATTCATCTGAAAAAAATATTAGAAGTTCTAACTGTCGAAAGTCGAAAAGCGAACCTTGTTGAAAATAAGGTAACGTAGAGCGAGATGGTGTAGAAAAATAAATGAAGGATTAAACAAGAGATCAATATCACTGACGTGGCATTCAAAATTGTTGTCTTCCGCTTTCTTTGCGTGCGTTTTCTCTTTCTCTTTATCCTCTTTTTTACTCATCAGGCATTAAGTAATTTTATTTTTTTCACACCCAAGGAAAGGATGGTCGTGATGGAAGAGACGGGATCAGCGGAAACGGAATGAAGGTAAAAATGTAAAAGAGGAATAAAGCTTTAATTTTCCTTTTTGCCGCAGGGATCAGGAGTAAAGCGAACGCTTAGTTTGTGCAAAACAATAGAGTCAATAGAAACCTTTTAAACTCGTGCGCCAAACTAGTCGTGGGTGCATGTGCTAGAGCATTACACTTTGATATACTCTGCAATTTCGTCACCATGAGTAGTGGTCGAGAAGGGCTACTTTGGCAAAATGACAGGAAAACATGGCGATACTTTGAAAAAGCGTGACACAGAAGGTGGTCGCTTTAGAGACGTGGTAATTAACAGAGGAAAGTTCAAGAGCAAACTTAGGTGGAAGGGGGTGGGGGAGGGGGGGAAAGTTGATGCAAATAAGACAGGGATATCTTTTTCCAATCCTCAAATTTACCCATCAGTGTATTTTTAGAGCAAGGTATAGGGGTTACGGGGAATTGCGGGAAAGAATTTAAGCGTTCAGTGCTTTGCCTTGCGACTCATACCGTTTAGTTTGTATTTCTACTTATCTCCTCATGCCGCTGATTCTATAGAGGGAAACTCAATGTTATTGCTTTTCTTCGCTTTAAAAATTCGTTGTAACGATTTAATCATATGTACCGAACTGTATTTTAAGGATTTGCTTGTTGTTACTGTGCGTTGTGGATTTTTCCTGGGTAATAAAAAGCTCTCGGCCGACCCAACTTGAGCTCTTCTCCGCATGACGGTCGGAGTCAGAAGCGTAAGCACTGGGGTCGAGATTGGAAAAGGACAGCAAATGACAAGGGTCATGACAACTCAGATTAAAATTTTCATACCTAATACATAGATTAACATTTTGATAGTCTCGCCGTTTTTTCATGTTAAGAAACTAAAGGAAACATTTTTCCCATCATTGTGAAACGCGCCATTTCCTACTGAAAACGAAAGAAGCATTTAAAGAAGTGTGAGCTCAAAATGTTACGCTTGTTTATTGCTTTTTTTCTTGTTATGATCTTGCGTTCCTTCGCAAGCCAGAAAAACTCTGTAAGCAATGTAAGTTTGGTATTTTTTTAGTTTGGTCCTTGAAAGAATTAATTTTGTCTGATATAAAAAGCAAGATGAAATGAATATACACCAAGACTGTGCTACTTTAACCAATAAAATTCAATACTAATACCTCGCGGATTTCCTCTTGCTTAGGAATCAAATCAAAACCATTACTGCAACTGTCGCGACGGTAAGCTGAAGACTTTGAATGAATCCTGATTCCCTATCTGTTCATGTTGTTTCTAATATAATTTCTCATTTTTTCCCTAGGAAGGGACGGACGAGATGGTCAGAACGGTAAGATAAGACATCGCACATATTAATAATAACCGGGCATCTTTTCACTAACCGACACAATGTTGACGATTCAAGACCCAGCAGTTCCCTTTTTTCATTAATTAAGCCGTAAAATACTTTCTGACCCGGTCAACCTCCCAATTTAGTACCTATACGTATATACCTGTTCACACCTTCTGCCCATAAATGGAATAGTAGATTGCTAGCAGGAAATACTGCCATAAGAACTTAAGCTAGTAGTACAGCTCCATATTACAACCGGTCGAATTAATCTGAGAAAATATAAGAAGTTCTGACTGTTGAAAATGGAAAACTGAACGTTATTAAAAATAAGAGTAACGTAGTCAGAGTTGGGACTTTTTAATTTAGATGTTTTAATTTAGGTGGTGTAGAAAAATAAATGAAGTATTAAGTAAGAGATCAATGTCAGTGACGTGGCATTCAAAATTGTTGTCTTCTGCTTTCTTTTGCGTGAGTTCTTCACGTTCTCTTTTCTACTCATCACCATTAAATAGTTTTATTCTTTTCACACCCAAGGAAAGGATGGACTTGATGGAAGAGACGGGATTAATGCGGGAAACGGAACGAAGGTAAAAATATTACAAAGGAATAACGTTTTTTCTGCCATTACCAAATCGATGATAATTTATTTCTGGGAACAAAGATGGATAAGCCAGAGGAGAACTTTAAAGAACACTCAAGTTCCCTGCAATCCGAGATTTCATTTGACTCTAAAAAGCCCGCTTGTTTAACAACAGAGTCTATTTTCTGTAGGAAAAGGGAGGGACACAGTACCACCTTAGTCTGCTCTCATAAATTAGTTACAAAAGATGAAAAATTCCGTTTAAAATATGACGAAGTCTCAGCGGCAAAGGCCAGTCTTAAGTAAAAGAATTACAAAGAAGGAGATCTGAGTCTTTAGGTTTCCTTAACCCTAGATGGGTTTTAAGAATAGTTAAGGACCTGTTTGTTTTTCAGGGTCAAAAAGGAGAACGTGGCTCATCAGGAAACAACGCAGGAGGTGTAATTAAGTTTAGCGATACCGCTGAGAAATGTACCGCAAGCATCGCCGGCACTGTAAGCTACAATACTTCCCAGAAATCCTTGCAACTCTGTGATGGAAGTGTTTGGCTTCCAGTGCTGACTGTTGGAAAAGGTTACACGAAGGATAGACCCGGCCGCCATTGCTTGGATATTTTAAATTCTGGTGAGCTGAAACTGTGATAAATAAAAAGAATCCATAAGAGACTGAGGAGATAGTTGTAGAGATTGCTGAGAAGTAGCTGGCCTGCAATGCAGGCGTATATATTGGGGCGAGTGAAAGCTACTTTATAAAGTTTGCAATGCCGCAGCCCGCCATCTTTCTTAAATATGCCTGCTAAAGTTCATCCTATCAATCATAATATATAAACAATCATGTAAAATAATATTCATTTTTCAGTATATTTATTATCAGGCCAAAGTCATGGCAGTGGGCTTTACTGGATTGATCCAAACGGTGGCTCGACAGGTGACTCATTCCAAGCCTTTTGCGACATGAAAACTGAGCGTGGAGGTTGGACCCTAGTTGCCACCAAGGTCTCCCCAGGCTTCCTCCTCATCAAAACAGTTTTCTCAGCAGTGGCTGCCGCAACTAAGAACAGAGACGCCGCAAGTCACATACACCCAAGCATGGGGAACTGGAAAGAGGTTATGTTCCGTTTTGCTGACGTTGATAACACCCGAGTCATTTACAATAGAAAAGCGGGCGCACCAAACAAAGACAAGGAGGAATTCGACAAGTTCTTGATGGGGAAGTATATGAATTTGGTAAAGAACGTGAATGGATTTCACAAGTACAGTCCAGCAGATAACAAAAGAAATCCCAGCGTGGGGTTTGCCACCATATCCTCTTTCTGCTTCTGGTCAGCCCATGGGATCTCAGAAGATCACGGTGGCACGGATAAGTGGCTTGACATGTGGCATGCTGGTGACAGCTCAAACAACTACATCTACAGCGATAACAGCAGGGCGCTGGGCACCAAATGTATCGCGGGCTACTGTTATCTGAACAAGCCAATCTGGGTGATGGTGCGTTAGCAAATCCATCAAGCCAATACACGAGCAGCTAATTACACGAGAAAGAACTAGATACTTAGGTGTTAGCAGGCGATAATAAAGTAGGTTTTAAAACAGACTGCTGGCGATATCAACGTTTTAACAATAGTGTCAAGATTAAAACGACCTGATATTAATCCAGTTAAAAAGAATTCTCGCATCTTGTACTGACTGCTCATAAAATAAAAGTAAAAAGCATTGACGATTTGGGTGTGTTGTTTATTAGTCGTTTGTTTGTTTGTTTGCTTTTTGCTCAGAACAACCCTTTTGTTGCTTGGGTAGGGGGAAATTGAGCAAGAGTTAGATTCAGTTCCACTCTAAGCCTGGTGCATGTGTTATGAGCAAAGTTTTTCGGAATAACCGACTCAGAAATAATTAAAGAACTACGAATAACGATTGCCTGCGTCAATTAATGACAACTGCCTTGCCTTTTTACAAACTTCTTTTTTCGTTTTTTTTTAAAATAATTCAACGCACGGACAGGAGAAGTATTTTTTCTAATATTCAAGAAGAAAAAGGACTTTTGATATTATCAAGTATAATATCGAATTTTATCACCATGTGGTACATACTCTTGAGTTGTAAGGATTGGATCAGAAAGTTGGAAAAGCTTACACTGGCTCTTTTTTCAAGATCACAAAATTTATGTTAGCCGTCTACAGCTATAAAAGAGGCGCTTCCTTGTGAATCTCTTTATGTTCCTTTAACCTAACAAGAGACGAATCATTAAAGACAAAAGTACATGAACAATCACCGAAGAGGCCAAATTTCCAATAAGAGAGATTACGTTCTTCAATGCCTTTATAAAGTCGAGGTAATATTAAGTAATCTTTCGTTATCGCGGGAATATTGATAGCACTAAATACTTCTTGACACGAACTCATTACGCTCAGCTCTATGTGCAATTTAAATTAGGAAGAGATGATCTTCTCTCCTCAGCTAAATCTAGCATTGAAATATGTGTACAGTAAATCAACCATTGGATGATTCTTAATGGTCTTAAGCTAAATGAGGAAAAAATTGAGCTGCTTCTACTCAGTTCACGTTATCGGCCCAGTCCTTCATTGGAATTTGTTCGTGTTGGGGGTGAAACTATTCATCCGTCCTCTTCTGTTCGTAATCTTGGAGTGATACTGGATCCCAGTGCTGATATGGAAGACCACATTAAAAAGATTTGCAAGACATGTCATTTCCATTTAACTAACATTAGTAAGATAAGAACATATTTGGATCGTGAATCTACTGAAGCAATTATTCATGGTTTTGTGACTACCAAGTTGGATTACTGTAATGCGATTCTACGTATATGGACTACCTAAAGTTCTCTTGAACCGCCTACAGCTAGTTCAGAATAGAGCAGCGCGCATCGTAACATTCACAAAGATATATGAACACATAACACCTAGCTTAATAGACTTTGGTTGCCTGTTGAATACCGTATTATTTATAAAATTTTATTGTTAGTACATAAGGCTATGAATGGACTTTCAACAAGTTATATATCCAATTTGCTCAGTTTTTGTAGCAGCTCCTACTCTTTGCGTTCTTGCTCGAACAAGTTACTTCAAGTCCTGAGATGTAAGCTAAAGTCTTATGGTGATCGAAGATTTTCTATCGCAGGACCTAAACTATGGAATAGCTTACCCGCATCTTTAAGGAATACCGATTCCTTGAATTGTTTCAAAAAACACTTAAGATATATTAATTTCACCAAGCTTTTTCTTAATTTATAAATAGATTTTTATTCATTTTTCATACTTATATATGTAGTTGTTAGATTTTTTGGAGTTTTAATACATTTTTTGTAAAGCCCCTAGAACAATTAATGATATAGACGCTATATGAATAAAGTTTATTATTATTATTATTATTATTATAATAAACAAAAAGCTTTGTCTGATCTTCTAGTGAGGTTGGTTCCATGTTATTTGAATCTTTGGAGTTTTATTGGTCTAATTCCCCCTGATCATTTCATGCTTTCCAACACTTGCTTTATAGAGATCTACCAGATTTGTTCCTAATTATTAACTTACCAAAAAGACTGAGAACTCGGATAGAATAGCATTTGTTTGTTACTCTAAATAAACCCACAACTTGCTAAATAAGTAGAATCATGATAACCTAATGGTGTCAGTGGATGACTGAGATGATGATTTCTGCCATAGGAACTTAAATTAGCCATATAGTTACGTTCCATATTAAAACTGGGCGAATTCATCTGAAAAAAAATTTGAGTAGTTATGACTGTTGAAAATGGAAAAGTGAACCTTCTTAAAAATAAGATAACGTAGTCAGAGCCCGGACATCTTTAATTCAGGTGGTGTAGAAAAATAAACAAAGTATTTACTAAGAGATCAAGATCACAGACGTGGCATTCAAAATTGTTGTCTTCTACTTTCTTTTGCGTGAGTTCTTCTCGTCCTCTTTTCTACTCATCAGCATTAAATAATTTTTTTTTTCACACCCAAGGAAAGGATGGTCGTGATGGAAGAGACGGGATCAACGGAAACGGAATGAAGGCAAAAATATTAACTTGAAGGGAACAAAGCTTTTTCCTCTTTGCCGCAGGGATCAGGAGTAAAGCGAACGCTTACTTTAAGCAAAACAATAGAGTCAATAGAAACGGTTTTTTAAACTGCGAGATTCTTGATTAATGCTAAACAAAAACTTGAACTTGGACTGCTGACAAAAAACGTAAAACGGCGTTGAGTAATAGTGATTGCATGGGCTCAACAATTAGCCGATGAACTTCATAAACCAATCAAAAGAACCTTTTCAAAGAGAAGTGTAATATCAAATGGGATTGATGAAATCTGGGCTTCTGATTTGGTTGAAATGCAAAAGTTTAGTAAGTGGAGTAATGGGATAAAATATTTGTTGATGGTTATTGAAGCATTTAGCAAGTATGGATGGATTAAACCTCTGAAAAACAAGAAGACTGAAAGTGTTAGTAAAGCCTGTGAGGAAATATTTAAATCAAGCAAACGTTCTTCAAAGATGTTGTGGACAGATAAAGGTTCTGAGTTTATCGGTAAACATTTTAAAGATTGTTTAAAGAGTAAAATTAGTATTCATTTGTATCACACTGAGAATGAAGAGGAATCAGCTATTGTTGAGAGATGGAATAGAACAATGAAAAATAGAATGTGGAAAATGTTTAGTGCGAATAATAATACTGTTTACTGGGACTAACTTGATAAATTAGTTGATGATTATAATAACACAAAACATTCTAGTATAAAAAAAAACTCCAGCAAAAGCAAGTAAAAAAAAATGAGGCAAAAGTTTATGCTTATTAATGGAGATTTAATTTACTTGAAACCTGAAAAACCAAAGTTTGCTATTGGCGACAAAGTTCGTATATCAAAGTATAAAAGACAAGTATTTGATCAAGGTTATACTCCAAAAGCAAGTAAAAAAAAAATGAGGCAAAAGTTTATGCTTATTAATGGAGATTTAATTTACTTGAAACCTGAAAAACCAAAGTTTTCTATTGGCGACAAAGTTCGTATATCAAAGTATAAAAGACAAGTATTTGATCAAGGTTATACTCCTTAATGGACAGAAGAGATTTTTGTGGCAGATGAAGTTTTGCCTACAAAACCTGTTACCTATAACATTGTTGATTTGACGGGGGAAGCGATTGAGAGAACTTTTTCCGAGCAAGAGTTACAAAAGGCAAAACAAGAAACCTTTAGAATTATAAAAAGTTTTGAGACGAGATAACAAGACAAAATTAGCATTGGTAAAATGGAGCGGGTATCCTGATAAATTTAATTCTTGGATGAGTTTTAGAACTTTGGTAAATTTTTAATGGCGGAGCTCTCGCGCGCGAAGCGCGCAGCGGAGCACCATGGGTAAAAAAATGTGGTAAACTACCCATCCGAGAAAATTTGGTAATCACGTGACCGTACACCGACCGCCCGCCCGACCGTCCGTCCGCACCACAGACATACCAATGTAAAATGATTCAATTAACAGGTATGGCAACCCAAATGCAACTCAAGGTTTTATTTGGAAAGAAATCGCATGGCCGCCCGGACTTTTAGAAAGAAAAAACAACAACAAAGTCGTGTCTTTTTCAACGTTATTTTTGATGTTTACACTCACGTGGATAACAGAGAAACTGAGCTAGAGCTAGTTTCTGAGAACTAAAGAGAAGAATTTTGTAGGAAGAAAAACATGAAAATTCAAAGCGGCTGTGAGACAATGAGAAATGCTAGTGGCCAGCAAGGTGAAACTGAGGGGCACTGAAAAATAAAAGCGAACATCAACACAGGAGACAAAATATTGGGTAAGAATTCCTCCATAAAAATAATGTGCAACTAGGAAGTTTGACGTTTAGTCCTACAAAACAGCGTTGTAGTTGTGCAAAACAACGGCAAAGAAGGACGAAAAGCGTGTTGCACGTGCAAATTTTGCATGTTGTTCTGCTAATTAGAAAAAAAAGCGTGCTGCACGTGCAATTTGTTTTTTTGCTAATTAGATCTATTGATGCCGTTTCCATTGGCCTCCACGTTTAGCATTAGACGATTTAATTTTTTTTGTTTACAAGTTTTATTAACAAGAGCTTCACTTTTAGCCCTGGCTAAATCTATATATTACAAATTATTGGTATTAAAAAATAGTTCACCATTTAATCTTCAATATCTGATGTATGAAGGTCTTTAATTTCACTATTATCTTCTGCTTAATTCGCTTTCTTCATCTTTACTTTCTACAATGGATAGTACTGGTTATCTTGATTGGTTTAAGAGGTTTGACATAAACCTCGTGTACTTTAATCTGAAGAGAAACCACAGTTTTGGAGATGTAAATACTCTCTATAATTAAAGCCATTTTGACTTTACAACATTGATGAGATATTCAAATGGGTCAACATTTTGTTGTCCCTTAGTTCTAAAAAGAGAAAGTTTTTTTTTTATTTATCTGAACAAATAAGTTTTGCAAAAAGGACTGGTGATGCTGATTCATCATTTTTT